TCCCACAGCCCTACCTGTCTGGCTCTGAGGGCCACTTTGCAGTGCTCGGTCTTGCTCAGCTGTGTGAGCTCACTGAGGATGGCGGTCAGCTCCTCCGACAGGGAAGGGTCTGGGCCACAGAGTTCATCCTTTGGGGGAGGAAACAGAATCGAAGCAGCTTTTGTCCGGCAGAAGGAAACATGCCATGCCGGCACCATCCTCAGCCAGGGTGTGGCTGCCCCGGCAAACCAGACAGCTGCTCGGCCTCTGAAGACACCTGGCACAGCCGGAGGCACATCCCCTCCCCTTTCCGCCATCACCCTATCCATTCATTCATCCACCCAAACACACCCTAACTCCCCCGGTAAGAAAAAAAATACATCTGAGTCTGTGCCTGCATCACTACCAAAGGCCAACAGTGATGCGGTGCTTCCTATGGCCAGGCAGGCAGTTAGGCCCTTGATATTCATCTCCCCAAATTCTCCCAACTCTCCAGGGAGTTTACAGATGAGGAAACTGAGGTCAGAGAAGCAATATGCCTCACCCCCATCATGCCAGGAGTGCCTGGCACACAGCAGGTGTTGGTTATGAGCCCCCACCCCCAGGGGCTGACAACGTTTATCGGGACACAGCCACACACATTCGCTTACAGGGTACAAAGGCAGCTTTGGGCGGTCCGGCCTGAGACCATATGACCTGCAAAATCTAAAATATTTCCTCTCTGGCCCTTCCCGGAAAACGCCCGCAGACCCAGCTGCCCTGCCCAAGTGGGGCGCCCTGCCCCGCTTACAATCAGCATGATCACCAGCTGGTTCTTCTTGGCCACCTGCGCGTGGGAGAAGATGCAGTGCAGCACCTGCGCCATGTCCGGCTTCAGCTGCTCCCGCAGGTTTATCACGCACTTGTCGTAGTGGGCTGCAGGGAGACAGAGGCCACGTGGTAAGGCCCGGTCCCGCCCGCCTGCCCCGGGGCGCGTCACCAGGGCCAGGGCAACTCTTGCCTTGTTGGAAGTGGTGCTCGACTTGTAAGTATCTCCTCAGGAGATCCAACACCACCGCCTTCATGTAGCCGCGGGTCCCGCTGCGGTACCTGGGGAGGAAGGGAAGGTGCCTGAGTGGTCCACGCCACCTCTTGGCGCCTGACTATCCCCAGGCAGGGCTCTTAGGATTTCAAAATAAGGCAAACGAGTCAAGTCTGTGGGGGATGCAGCCCTCTGACCCTTCGGCCTGGGAGGGATGCCAAGTTGGTTCATTTGCATGAGCTGCAGGGCAGAGAGCAGAACCTTGCCCAAGGTCACACATCACGCCCGAGGCCACGCCCGAGCCTTTGGATGGCGCCTGCCCCATCCCCAGAGAGAAGGAAACACACTTACAGAGTTGGGATGCTGAAAGGGGTCAGCCTTGCATGCATGGTTGAAAAGAAAAATTTTCAATTAACCATCCACTGTGTAAAGACAGTTTGGAAAAAAGCAAGACTTGAAAGGCATTTACCAAACGGTCTGTGTCAATTTTGCTTCCCTTTAAAACCCAATTTTAACCTGGATGCTCCCTAGAACATTTCTTCTCGGTTATCTTGAACACAGGGAATGGGGTTTCTCCGGAGGTGTGACTCTGAGTTTTAGAGACGCCAAAACCAACTTAACCCCAGCATCACCCAATAACAACGAAAGAGAAGGACCTATAACGCCCGTTTATTCAAATATGATTTTAAAAATACACGGCATGGCCCTGGCTGGGTGGCTCAGCTGGTTGAGCATCGTCCCGCACTATGAAAGGTCGCTGGTTCGATTCCCAGTCGCGGCTAATATCCAGGTTTCGGCTTTAATCCCCCAGTTGGGGCACATATGGGAGACAACCGATCGATGTTTCTATCTCACATCGATGTTTTTCTCTCCCCCACCTCCCTTCCTATCTCTCAAAAAAAAAATTAATGAAAACATATCCTTGGGTAAGGATAAAAATAATTTAAAAAATGAATCCATTTAGAATGACTTACTGTGCATGAGGTGTTTTTATTCCCATTTTATAAACTGGCAAACTGAGAAAGAACCTACAATGCCCATTTATTCAAATGTGATTTTAAAAATACATGGCATGACCCTGGCTAGGTGGCTCAGCTGGTTGAGCATCGTCCCGCACTATGAAAGGTCGCTGGTTCGATTCCCAGTCGCGGCTAATATCCAGGTTTCGGCTTTAATCCCCCAGTTGGGGCACATATGGGAGACAACCGATCGATGTTTCTATCTCACATCGATGTTTTTCTCTCCCCCACCTCCCTTCCTATCTCTCAAAAAAAAAATTAATGAAAACATATCCTTGGGTAAGGATAAAAATAATTTAAAAAATGAATCCATTTAGAATGACTTACTGTGCATGAGGTGTTTTTATTCCCATTTTATAAACTGGCAAACTGAGATGCACAGAGGTCAGGTGCCTTGCCTGGGGTTCTGCTGTTAGGAATGGCTATGCCAGGACTATACTCAAGGTTTCCCGACCCCATGTGCTATCCCCCTCAGAGAATCCCACAGCACTACCCTGGTGTGACACAGGGGATGATTCAGAGTGACAAGTGCACCCCACGCAGGACCCAGGACTCACCTCTGCACCAACTGCACGATGCTCTGCGTGTTCATGAAGAAGACTTCCCGGTCGGCCTTCCGCTGCAGGGTGGCCGCGTGGCAGTCCAGGATGTTGGCTATCTGGACGGGAAAGAGGACAGGTCTGGCCACTCACAACCACACAATCCGGTCGCCATACAGAAGTCACCCAAAGGACCCACCCCAGGCTCCCCTGGAAGATCCGTCTGAGGCTCGTTTGGAAAAAGAAAATTCCAGCCCCAAAGCCTCTGGCCACCCAGAAACAGCTCTGCCTGTCCTGCTCAGTATGTTGCTTGAGGAATTCAAGAGCCCAACATGGCCCATCGGTGTGGCTCAGTGGCGAGGAAATCACAGTTCGATTCCCCTTTGGGGTACACGCCCAGGTTGCAGCTCGATCCCCAGTGGGGGGCGTGCAGGAGGCAGCCGATCGATGATTCCCTCTCATCATTGATGTTTCTATCTCTCGCTCCCTCTCCATTTTTGACAAATATTACATATACTCATAGCTGCAAGATTATCACCTTACAAGGAGGAGAATCTAAGCTACAAACTAGCAAGAAAAACTCACAACTTCCTCTATCACTTCAGCTAGCATCTCTTTGGAAAATGCTCACTCTGTACCAACTGCCTACTCCTTTTCTGCATCCGAGTTTTCTGGGGTGAGGCCCAAGAACTGTTTATGTCCCTCTAAGCATCTGCTGCCGGGGGCGGGGGGGCGGGGGATGCTGGGATTCAACAGGGAAGGCTCAGCCCCCAATATCTCGGGCCATGAATGGGTTTCACGACGCCCGACTCAATCAGAGGGCAGAAGTCCAGCCCGAGTGGGAGCTGAGTTCCCGAGGAGCCACCCGGCCTGGAGCGGGCACCCCGGTGGGGCGGGGCAGGGCGGCACACACCTGCTGGCTGGGGAACTGGCAGAGCACGGAGGTGATGTTGCTGGCGTACTGGGCCATCACCCTGCGGACAGACTTCTCCACGGGGGCGGGGATGCGGCCTGACACGTTGGTCATGATGTCCTGCAGCTCCAGCAGCGGCAGCGACGGGTGTCGCAGGGTCATCATGAGCTTCTGCACCCACTCCTTTAGCTGCAGCGGGACCACAGCATCGGCCCGAGGTCCCGCAGGGGGTGGGCGCCACCACCCACCACGAGGCACCCAACACACTCAGCCCCTCCAGGCCCCACGCACTCGAGTGGTGAAGACCTGGACCCAGCAGACTCTGGGACAGTCCGGAGTGGAAGGGTCCCCTGACCACAAGGGGGTGCTCAGCTCTCCCACTAGGAAGGTCCCACGTCCCCTGCAGGCACCCACACAGCCAGCACGGTTTGAGGATAAAACACAAGGCCATGTGCCGGCTGGTGTGGCTCAGAGGTTGAGCGTCGACCTATGAACCAGGAGGTCACGGTTCGATTCCTGGTCATGGCACATTCCCAGGTTGTAGGCTCCATCCCCAGCGTGGAGCATGCAGGAGGCAGCCAATTGATGATGTTTCTGTCTCATTGATGTTTCTATCTCTCTATCCCTCTCTCTTCCTCTCTCTCTAAAAATCAATAAAAATACTTTTAAAAAATAAGAGAGTGACCCACATTGACTCCTTTCTTAACTGATTACCTGGACATTCTCGGTGTGGAGCTGAACTAAACCCTGAAACACCAACTGTCACTTTTACGACAGTTTGTACAATCAGACAGAAGTACCCTGACGTGTACAATCAAACCGAGGGCTGAACGTGCATCAGTAGAGTCCTCTGACCTCAGGGAGCCAACCCTTCTAGCTCATCACACGGACCTACACGTGGCTCTACCACACATCCTGCGACCTCCAGCACGTGCCTCTCCCTCTCTGAGCCCCCCTCTAAGTGCCCCCTCTTATGACCACCCTGCACACGAGACCTGCCTTTATGCTAAAGATGGGCTCCGGCAGACAGTAGCCGCTCATGACGTTGGTGAGGTTCTCCAGGACGGTGTGGAAGACCTGGTTCAGCTTCTCCCCCATGATGGGCAGGGTCTGCAGGGTGGGGAGCTCCCCTGTGAACGGCTTGGCCTGATGAGACACAACGAGAACCCGAGGTCAAGGACACCGTGGCCCCCCGACTGAGAGAAGCCGGGGGCCGAGGCAGACCCGCCAATGCGCAAGCCACACGGACAGTGTTCTCAGGATGGAGCCCAGAACAACATACTGGAAAGTGAAACTGGCAAGATGGTCTTAATGTGCCCGTTTGTCTACGGATTCATTCTAGAAGGACCCACAGAACGCCTACTATGTGTGAGGCCCTGGACCAGGAGGTTTGGGACATCCGTTCTGCTGGTCCGGAACCCTCAGCTTCTGCCCCCTGCCCCGCAACACCTCCTCTCGTCCTTCTCCACAGTCTGATGCTGGCTTCTCCATCGGACCTCCCACAGCCAGGGCCAAGGGCAGTCTCCCTGCCTGGAGCTGCTGAGCCGAATCACAAGGGCTCATCTCATGGGCGAGTGTGAGTCTGCAGGGACTGGTGGCCAGGCCCTGCTCGTGCTCCTGGCCCAGGAAATGTTTGCTGACAGGAGTCACACTGCAGGCACACAGACCTTCCTTCCCACTGATCTAAAAAGGCTCAGACTATTTCTAGCTTTGGGAAGCCTCAAGAAAAAATAACAAAAAGAATGGGAAGGAAAACAAAACTAATGGAATAGTCTGGGGAACAGAAACTATCTGATTTTTAAAAATATACTCTTCTGGCCCTGGCCAGTGTTGCCAAATGGTTAGAGTGTCGCCCTGCACACTGAAGGGTCATGGGTTCAATTCCCTGGTCAAGGGCATGTACGTGGGTTGCAGGTTCGATCCCCAGCCCCAGTCAGGGTGCAGTGGGGAGGCAACCAATGGATGTGTCAATGGAGGCAACCATTGATGTTTTTCTCTCTCTCCCCCTCCCTCCCTCTTCCATTCCACTCTCCCTAAAAAAAAAAAAAAAAAAAAATCAATGAAAAAAATAACCTCGGGTGAGGATTAACAACAACAAAACATTTCTAGCTGTTTTTCTGGGCATATGTACTAATAACCATAGAGGAAAGAGCAATACTCGGATGAATGATGAACACGGCTTACTTAGAAGGGTGTAAACAGTCAGCAAGATGTGTTTTTTCCGGGTACCCACTGTGCCCGGAGCACATCTGACAGCTCATGAGAGGGAGGAGGGAGAGCCCTGAAAGCATCTGGGGGAGGTCCTCCCAGATGAGGGTGCAGGTCCCAGGCTGGGGGTCTGGTCTAGTTAAGCAGGGGGAACACGAGAGAGAATAAAGCCGAAGAAGTTGGGAGCAGCTGATGTGGGGTCTGGTAGGTCCAGAGAAGAACTGGGGTTTTCTTCTGAGTGAGACCGAGGCTGCCAAGAGGGGTTTGAGCAAAGGAGGGCACGTGTGCTCCTATCACGCTGGCTCCGGGGGGACACGGGAGGCAGGAGACGAGCTGGGAGCCTTGAGTCTGCTCGGCTCACTGACCAGGCAGGTGGAGGCCGTGAGCGCACCTGAGCCCACGTGAGCCTGCTGGGTGGCTGTGCCGGGCGCTACGTACCGGGTGCACTTTGGAAGGGTCATCGAGCTCCAGCCTGGCCACCACGCAGCCCGCTTCCAGCACGGCCCCCGGACGCTTGATGTACTTCACCCGGCCACTTTCCTGCACGGTCAGGGTCATGATCATCTTCATCACCTGTTGTGCGGAAAGAAGACCCGAGATGGAGCCCACCAGGGCTGGCCCGTGTGTGTGACACCCAGAGTCCTTTAGAACTAGTAACTCTGGAGGAGGGCCCGCGGCATTTAAACAGAATGACGCCCTGGCAGGGTTCAAGCTGGAAGGACAGAGGGAAGCAGCGGTCACCGGAAGCCAGCCACGGTGCTCTTCATCTCCATCTGCAAAGCCGGCCGGGGAGGTATGTTTATGTGCCCATTTTACAGACGTGAAAACTGATCTTTACTTTGGAAGCACAGACTCTCTCTTAGAACTATCATTAAATCGTAGTATGTAGGGTGACTAACATACACGTTCCTGCTCCTTTTCTCAAGGCAGCGAGAAACCCTCTGGGGAACACTGGGAAATGAATGTGCTCCCACTACACACAGTGCAGGCACCCAAGTCCGCCAGGCCTGGGCTGCAGCCCCAGCACCCACGCATCCTGCGACCTCCAGCATGTGCCTCTCCCTCTCTGAGCCTCCCCTCTGAGCCTCCCCTCTTGTGAAATGAGGACTCTGATAAGGATCAGAGAGATGAAGAGCCTGGTCACGGTCCCTGTATTGTCATTGCCATTGTCAAGATATTATTTTCCTTGGCAGTGGAAATGGAGACTGAGTTTGAATCCTGGCTATGCGTGACCTCAAGCGAGTTTCTTAGCTGCGTGGGCGCCGTTTCTTCATGTGTAAAATGGGGGTCAAAGTAGTGCCCGTCTCCTACGATGGCTGGGAAGATTAAAGGGGTAATTAAAGAGGTAAGATGCTCAGAATGGTGCCTGTCCCGTGGTAAGTGCTCTGCTGGTGTTGGCTGAAGACTTTGTAAAGGCCACCATCGCCATCATGAATCAGTTCTCACTCATTTCCAGGGAGGTGGCATTTCTGCTTTAAATACTGCAGGGAATCGGGGCTGAACCCTGCACACTGGCTCTTAGGAATTCGCAGCTGGTGGCCCAGGTTAAGAGGTGAGGCCCATTTGCAGAAGCAATGGCCCTCCCTCGGGGAGCGGGGACGGGGCAGAGGGGAGGCCTCGCTGACCCCCGGGACCTGCCCTGCACTCACCTCCATCTCGGCGTAGCTGTCCCCAGCCTCCACATGACCCCCATCCTCCACCGTGTACTGCGTCAGCTTCCCAGCCGAGGGCGACCTCAGGACCGTGGGGTCGTTCTCCTTCTCGAACACGCACGTCTTGTTGCCGATGGTGATCCGGTAACTGGGGAAGGGGGGAGCATCGCCCCAGCGCCCATGTCAGGCCCGCTGCAGCCTCTCTCTCCCTGAGGCAGCCCTGAGGGTCCCTCACCCTGTGTGCAGTTCGGGGGGCTCCCCTTTCCCAAATGGTGGCATTTTGACGGTCACCACAAATAGATTAGGAGCCAGTTGGGGAGCAAAGGGTGGAACCCTTTTCTGGCTGAGAGCCCGCCCCGCCCTTTCGGGGCCCCGCCCACACACCTGTCCACCTCCTCCTTCATGTAGGTCGTGTAGCTGTTCCCGTCGTAGGACAGCAGGAGCCCGCCGTCGTTCAGCCGGTGGGCGTCGATCTCGATGTGACCACCGTTCATGATGAGGACGAACATGGTCAGCGACTGCCGGGCCACCTGCAGGACAGGTGCAACGTCCCTACCTGCATCAGGATGCCTGCTTGTCCCTGTGCCCCCAGAACAGCAGCTGCCCCGCCCCCGACCAGGAGCTAGAGCTGTGTCCACTGTGGGAGAGCCAGGTGGACGCCTCGCCTGTCTAGTCCCAGGCCCCGATCGCCGGAGGGAGAAGCTGACGGGCACGGAGCCTGGAGAAAGTGCACCACACCTGCCTGTGGGTGGGCTGATGGTCGCTGGCCGAGGGCATGGTCCCACTGGCCATCTCTCACCAACTGTGTACCCTCCTTCACTTCCTGCCTCCAAGCATCAGGCCCCCACAGGGCCGCCTGGGCAGCAGGGAGACAGGGCCCAGGGCTCTGCCTCCCACGCGTGGCTCTGCCCAGGGATTTTGGACTCTAGAGTGTTGGAGACATTCGAGAAACACGGACCGTTACCTTGAGAATGTACTTAATGCCCCCGTAAATTAATTCCACGTCCACAGTGTTCAGCAGAAAATCCGCAGGGAGGACCTGGCCCCTGAAAGAGAAGACAGATCGGCGGTCAGCCTTGGTTTCGACCAAGAACACTGCGGCCAGGTCCCAGGACTGCAGCCCAATGCACCTGGCTGTCCCGGAAAAAGCTACGTCTCAGTTAAAGGCAAGAAAACAAGAACCGTCCCTGGTCAGCACGAATAAGCACGTGGCTGTCTGTCCGCACTTGACCTCGGCCTTGAGGATGCCGACCCTCCCTCTTCCAGGGCAGCCCGCGTTTCTCTGAGGACTTTCAGAGGCGAGCATGCGGGAGGGGTTCACACATCTCCTGTGACTGCTCTGCACCCAAAGAACGCATGTTCTGCCTCACTCGCCACTAATGCAAACCCCAAAAGGGGACAGTGACCCACGCGCCCCACCTCTCCAGCGAGTGCAGGAAATCCGTCATGCAGGTTCTGAACATCGCATCGGCCACGTTCAAGGCGCCACACACCACCCCGAGCATGATATCCGGCTTCTCGGCCTGGAAAAGACCCCACAGTTCAGTATCCATGGTAACCAAGCCCCCAGGGAGCTGGGGGAGGGTTCTCTGTGACCGAAGGGGAGGCGTGTGCAGCTCCTCACCTGCACTTTCTCGGCGATGAGGTGGTCCAGCCACCCGGTGTCGATGTCGTTGTTCTGGAAGCTCTCGGTCTCCAGGAGGTTGATGAGGTACTCCACGGTGGTCCTGAAGTCGCCCCGGATGGACAGTTCCTTCAAAGCCACCACCATGTTCCTTGAGGGGAAAGGCACACGGATTGGTTTCCCAATTAGCCTACGGGGTTCCCCCATGGTTCCCAAAGAGCCAGAACAACAGGGAAGTCAAGAGGGTCCCGAGTCGGATACCCTGGGTCAATCTCGGCTCCAGCACTGACTGCTCAAGTGATCCTGGGCTCAGTTTCCTCATCTGGAAAATGGGGAAATAACCCTGACTTCACACAGGTGCTTGCGGGTTAAAGTGAGACCATCCACGTGAAGCACCCAGTCGCTGACCAGTAGCTGTCCACTGCTATGAACATGATTCATTACCGTGATTCTAATTCTAATGAACCACAGCCAGTCACTCTGCCTCACTCCCACTGGACCCATTCAAATCCCGGGTCCCAGAGAATGAGACAAGCCACAGACCATAGCATCTGAAGTGGGCTGGGACGGTGGCTCCTCCCCTCCCCTATTAATCCTTATGTGCTGAATCCTCTCACCTTCAAGGGTCTCCATTTTTTTGCTGAGCATGATGAAAACTAACTATTCTGCTTGGCCTGTGTGGCTCGGCGGTTGAATGTTGACCTATGAACCAGAGGGTCACCATTTGATTCCCGGTCAGGGCACATGCCCGGGTGTGGACTTGATCCCCAGTAGGAGGTGTGTAGGAGGCAGCTGATCAATGATTCTCTCTCATCATTGATGTTTCTATCTCTCTCCCTCTCCCATCCTCTCTGAAATCAATAAAAATATTTTTTTAAAAAAACGAATTATTCAAAGCTGGCAAAGAAAGCCCGCCGCCTCATCAAAACCACCAGACTCAATTTAATTCAAGGCTACGTGCCAGGGCCAGGTGGATTTTAATGTTTTTTTTAAAGAAAACGTCCACAACGGCTTTTGGATTTTTCACTCTGACGGACACTCACCCACAGACACAAGAATACTGAATTACAATGTGAACTGGTTTTGACCTTTTTGCCCCCAGGTCAAGGCAGAAAAAAAGATAAGATGTGTCTCAGAATTTGGGGGCCTCTTTGTGAGTGCGAGTTTCTCCGGGACCTACTTGTGGGATTGAAATTTAAAGGCGTCTTCCATCCCCCTCGGTCCCCTGAGACACACACACCTTTTTTAAAAGAGCCTAAGTACTCAGCACCTTTTAAACTTTTGGAATCACCTGGAACATTCTTTGGATTTCCTTCAAGTTCAACCTGCAATTAGCTCAAGAGCCATGACCTTGGAGAGGTCATCTTACTTGAAGGATCTCAAATCCAGGCAAGAGGGCGGACTTTGTCCTTGGACTTTGGCACAGGGCACTAATAGGGGTCCCTTGATCTCCTAACTCGCTACTGCACCTGAAGCCACAGGCTAACTCTGAGTTTCTTACAGGAAGAAAGGGATGGAAGGAGGAGAGAAGGAAAGGAGGAAGGGAGGGAGGGAGGGAGGGAGATACTGACGAGATGGCCTCTTCCCGGTTCTCTCCCCAGGAGAAGCAGTGCCCGAACTGGGAGTCGGCAAACTCGTGCAAGCCCCCGGTGGCCGCCACGCTGAAATAGCCCCACACGTTCCTGCTGCTGCGGAAATTCAGCTCCTGGACTGTCCCGGAGCTCGGCTTGAACCCCTGCAGCCCAGACGAAAGAGAAAAAGCAACACGGAAGAAATCACTACTCAGACCTATTTTCATCAGAATTAAATCCTAGGAAAACCTAAGAAGCCCTGCCACAACCCAAAACTTAGCACAATCCAGGACACGGTGATACCTCTCCTCAGGGCTGTGGGTCTGCATATCGACCTGGGGGTGCACCATGTGAGCACGTCGATGCATGTAATGTTTACTTTACATACACAGTTTAAAAAATAACAACAGCCCGGCCAGTGTGGCTCAGTGATTGAGTGTCGACCTATGAACCAGGAGGTCACGGTTCGATTCCCAATCAGGGCACATGCTGGAGTTGCGGGCTCCATCCCCAGTGCAGGGCGTGCAGGCGGCAGCCGATCAATGATTCTCTGTCATCACTGATGTTTCCATCTCTCTCTCCTCCTCCCTACCTCTCTGAAATCAATAAAGATATTTTAAAATGTACTTAAAAAATAAAAACAACCGCTACCAGACATAATGTGGGAAAACAGTGACCATGGATGGAGCCGAGCGAAGGTACATTCTGATTTTAAACTCTCGGCATTGTTGACAGTAAAGGCTTAAGTGAAAGAGGACTGGGTTTCCAATTCTGGGTCACGACAATTCCAGCAGATAAGGAAACCCAGCGTTAGCCTTGCTGATGCTGGCACGCAAATTCCCTTGGGGGATGGCCTGGCCCCTGAGTGTAATTTGGGGAGGGGGGGAGATCTGGACCCTCTCTCTGGGATTAAGGCTCTTGAAGTGAGTGATGGAGACACTCATTTTGGCAGAAGTGCCTGGAGGCGAGACAGAGTTCCAGGTGCCCGGGCAAGTTACCCTGACCTCTTGATCTGTAATTTGGGGTAGCAACACCCAGCGGCGGAACATGAGCCGTGATACCCATGAAGGGGATCTACCTGGCACACACTCCGTGTCACTGACCGTGACTGTCCCCTCCTGCACCTCAGTTTCCTCATCTGTGAAACGGAAGCCTGGGGTCTCGTCTGAGGCTGATGCTGGGGGTCCCCCCCACCCTGGGAGAGCGGAGATGGCGGAGGCGTGGGGCCCCCACAACTTGCCTCATCAGGGTTTTCGCTGGTGATTCTGGCTGCAATGACGTGGCCGCGGGCGAGGGGCGGGTTGGGAGGGGTTTCGAAGGCAATGGGTGTCACCCCCCACGGGGACTCTCCGTACAGAAGGCGGATGTCTTTCAGCCGGTGCAGCGGCACGCCCATGGCGATCTGAAATCAGGAAAGCCATCACGGCTGTCAGGCCCACGAGACCCCCGCCCTCAACACCACGCAGGAAGCTGGGGGCCATGGAGGAAGAGGTGCAGCGAACGATGTCAGATGCACTGAGCACCTGATAGGCACACAACTTGCCAGACGGTGGCGGGAGAAGCGAAAGAAGGAGACGTTAATTTTTAAAAACTGCGTTCAATGAATGCGGGCCTTCCTGCCTCTGGCCACAAGTTCTCAATGGGGGTGATACTGCCCCCACGGGGACAAATATCTGCTCTTGGAGGTGGAAAAAGTCTTCCCCTTTGTATGTATAAAGCCCAGATGCACCTGTAGTTCTATGACATTAAGATTCCACGGGGAGGAAGTTAGGGGGGGATTATGTCTAAAAAGGCCCCTTAGGGGGGACAATAATGCAAAAAAAGGTTAAGAAACACTTCTCTGGATCTTTGAATGGGCATCATGGGTCCATGAAGGCCCTGAATTTGCATAAAATGTATTTTTCCAGGAGAAGTCCATGACTTTTGCCTTATCAAAGCACCATATGGCAGACAGAGGCGACCAACCACAATCCATAATCTGCTCTATGCCACCAATCTTCTCTAAGCCAATCTTCTCTATGGCTCTCAGTGCCACCAACACAGTTGCTCCCCAGGGACAGTCAGTCCAGAGGGGCCGGCAGGTCTGATCTGAGTGGAAGGGGGACCCCGTCCTGGGCGGGAGAGGACCCCGGCCCGGAGCCCGTTTCCTCACCTGCAGCTGGGCGGCCGGCAGGTTGACGTCAGCGATCATTTCTGTGCACGGATGTTCCACCTGCAGCCGGGGGTTCAGCTCCAGGAAGTGGAAGCTGCCGTCCTGGCTGTACAGGTATTCGACCGTCCCCGCGCTCACGTAGCCCACAGTCTTGGCCAGGCGGACGGCACACTGCAGAGCAACAGAGACTGGCTTCTTAGTTCCCCACCCAGTGCAGACGGAGGGCCTGCTATATGTCAATTCCTGGGGGACCACACAGCTCATACTCCGATTGACTCATGCCAGGCTGAAATCACATCCACAGGGGCCCCCGGTTTCTTCCTGGGCACTAGCCCACGTTAGCACCTCGGACCACAGGGAACTCTCACTGGCTCTGAGCTGGGATGGCTCCCCCCACGCTGCCCCCACGCCCAGCTCCGCACACCCACCTGCTCCATGAACTCGAACACGACTGGGGTAGCGATGGTGGCAGGCGCCTCCTCGATGATCTTTTGATGGCGCCGCTGGATGGAGCAGTCTCGCCCGAACAGGGACACGGCGTTGCCATACTGGTCGGCGAGGATCTGCACCTCCAGGTGCCGGGCGTGCTGGGCCAGCTTCATGAGGAAGACAGGGGAGCCCGGGATCTCGCTCTGCACCTGTGGGGAAGGCAGAGCCGCTGGGACAGGAAGTTCCCCGCAGAGAGCAAGAGACGGTGCCGTCCACGGTCCCCTAGTCTCGTGTAACGTGCTCAAGACATGACATTCTTGGTGCTTTAAATTCAACGGTGTGAAAATACATAACGTAGACAGTGAAACTTCCCCACAACCCCATCCCCCAAAGATAATGTGCCGTTAAGAGTTGGGTAGAAACTGGTTAAGAGTTTAAGGTACTGTCGAGAGTTAACGTGGTTGAGAATTAGTGCTGCCATGGTGTCCGCTAGGCACTACACTTACCAGGATGATCACTTCATAAATCATATAAATGTCTAATGACTATGTAGTAACCTGAAACTAACATAATATTGTACATCAACTATAATTGAAAATATTTTAATTATTTTAAAAATGCCCTGGAAAGGGTGGCTCAGTTGGTTGGGCGTCATCCCATGCATGGAAGGGTTGCTGGTTCGATTCCCAGAGGGGGCATATGGTCTGGGGGAGGAGTGTGTGTGCATCAATGTTTCATTCTCACATCGATGTTTCTCTCTCCCTCCCTCCCTCCCTCTAAATAAATATAAATTAATTGATATAAATAAATTTTTTAAAGCTACTGGCCGGGTGGCTCCGTTGATTGAAGCATCGTCCTGTACACCAAAAGGTTTTGGGTTCAATCCCAGCTCAGGGTGCGTTTGGGAGGCAACCAATTGGATGTTTCTCTCTCACATCAATGTTTCTCCCTCTCTCTCCCTCTCCCTTCCTCTCTCTTTAAAATCAATTAAAAGAACAAAGAGTCAATAAGAAACATATCCTCAGGTCAGAATTTGTTTAAAAAAAAAAGATTGCCCGCATAATTTTTAAACATTGTCAAAAATAAGCACAATGTTTTAATAGTGGAAAACCAGCTATAATTAAGTAAATATACAATCACAGCTGACCCCTGAACAAATCAGGGGTGATGAGCATCAATCCCCATGCAGTCGAAAATCTGCTTAAAACTTTTGATTCCCCCCAAATTTAACTACTAGTAGCATACTATTGACTTTACTGCTAACATAAGTAGTCAATTAAACATGTATGTGTATATATCATGGTAGTACATGATAAAATAGACTAGTAGCTATATATTTTATGCATTCGTGACATACTTTCACTTCATTTTTCAATATTTCTAGGTTATGCAGTTTGTCTATGAGATCTTTCAAGTTGTTGAAAATCTCCAAAAATTTTTTTAATGTAGTTACTGAAAAAAAATCCATGTGTAATTCGACCCACCCAGTTGACACCCATGTTGCTCAGGTTCAACCATATAGTTCCTGCAATAAAAAGGGACCATCTAGAACCAAGACTGCTACAATTTACACAACATTCCCTCTCTTGATAGACAAATATAGTCAGAAACAGATATTCTGACCCTGTATCCCTGAAGCCATTTACAGACACACCGATTCATGGACTTCAACATCCAAGGGAGTGGTACAGCGATGCACACACACCATGCACCTCTGAGTGAAGTGCACACATCTGCTTTGAAAGATGACACAGCACAGCCATATTCCCCTGCTGCCAATGCCCTCACAGCTGTGACAAAATAAGGAAGATTCTTGTCCGGCCGGCGTGGCTCAGGGGTTGAGCATCAACCTATGAACCAGGAGGTCTCCGTTCGATTCCAGTCAGGGCACATGCCCGTGTTGTGGGCTCGATGCCCAGTGGGGCCTATAGGAGGCAGCCGATCCATGATTCTCTCTCATCACTGATGTTTCTCTCTCTCTCTCCCTCTCCTTTCCTCTCTGAAATCAATAAAAATAGACTTAAGCTGTTTAAAAAGAAAAAGAAAGGATCTGCTGACCAACACGTGGAGAGAGACAATTCCCAAAGACGAGAAACCACGCAAGCGCGGCTCACCTGTCGGAACAGGATGGGGAAGTCCTCGGCACTCTCCGCCTTCCGGATGCCTTTCCCGCCGCCGCCCTCGGAAGCTTTGATCATCAACGGGAAACCAATTCTTTCCGCTGCCTGGGAGGCAGAGGACAAACAGACCCCTTTCGAAGTTAGACGTGGCCGCCGCCGGCAGGGCAGACAGACGTCCTGGCACCCGGTCCCCCCGGCCCTGCGCTTACCTCCAAGCCCTCGTCTATGTCCTTCACACAGCCGCGGTTGTACACGTCTTCCGGGACGTTGATGGTCTTCCCCTCCTGCAGGTCATCCTCTGCCCACGCCACCGTCAGGCCTGGAGAGTCGCAAAGGAAGCTGAATCGTCCACGGACGGCAGGGGCCACACACAACACAGACACCGCGAGGCCCTGACTCGCAGAGCTGCTCTAGACCTGGCCTCCGGGCCAGCGGAATACGGACACAGTCCTTCGGCTTAATTAATGAATGGCTTTAGTTTTCTTTAGGACCGACTCAACCCTGAGTGGGAAATCAAGCTTCAGAAGTTCAGACTGAGCCCTGGCCGGTTTGGCTCAGTGGGCAGGGCATCGGCCTGAGGACTGAAGGGTCCCATGTTCGGTTTTGGTCAAGGCCATATACCAGGGTTGCAAGTTGGATCTCTGGCCCTGGTCGGGGCACGTGTGGGAGGCAACCATTCTATGTGTCTCTCTCACATCGATGTTTCTCTCTCTGTCTCTCCCCCTCCCTTCCACTCTCTCTAAAAATCAATTGAAAAATATCCTCGGGTGAGGATTAAAAAACAACAAAAACCAGAAATTCAGACTGAGTCTACCAAGAACACTGTATTAACCTGAATCTTAAAAAAAAAAAAATCCCAGTTCTACCCTATGGAATCATTAATATGTGAATCATTATTTTCCAATACCCTGTGAAGATTTTAAAAAAATAAACAAACAGTAAGAAAAAAACACCTCCCGTCCCAAATTTAAAATTCAATCTTTAGAAGAAAAAATCAAATTGAATAGGAGACTCCTGAGACTTTTTCCTGTTTATTTTTATATAAAAAGATATCTTAGAAACCCCACTATAAGAACTTTATCCTAAGGAAATGATTAAAATGTACAGAGAGATTTAAACATGAGATGATCAAGCCTCCTTTGCCTTTAGTAGTTTTAAGTTAGAACAAAGTAAGCTAGAAACAAGCTAAATGTATAACTAGAGAGGACTGTTAAGTAAATGATGGTGCATCCAAATGATATAATCGTAGGCAGGCATTTTAAATGTTGCAAAGTATATTTATTGACATAGAAAGACTAGTGAGAAAAAAATAAGTCCCAAACTAGCAAACATAAGATCGCTGGGTTTTTTAAAGGCTGTGCTTAGCAAGAAGGCTGGGAAGGTAGACAGATACCTAAAATGCAGCCAATGTTCCCCACTGAGTCACAGGATTATAAATGATTTCCATTTCTTTTTTGTATGCCTCATATTTATTTTCTAAGTTGTCTACAATGCAACTGTGCCACGTGCTCAATAACTTTAAACATTTAAATGAGAGAGTTAAAAAGCACGCTTTGTCACCCGCTCTGCTCACATTAGCCGCACTGGGCCGAGGAGTCCCCGAGTGAGAAGCTTGGGGTCCCTTACCGCTTCCGCTCCAGGGCAGCGTTGGAATCTGCAGCGTCTGGGCCACGATGGTGGAGGCGATCTTATCTCCCAGGGCCCACATGGCCTCACTGGGAGGGCCTGAGGGATGGGGGAGACGGGGGGAGGCAGAATCGAGTCAGCCACAAGTCCCTCACAGCCGAGTGCTGTGTTCAGTGGAAGAACAACATTCAGGTCCAAGCGCTCAAGGAGTTTAAGGTCAAGTCAAGGGAGCAAACAGCCTGTTAGTCTGCTACGTCATCAGTCAACTTTCAGCGCCTGGTCTGAGTTGTAACCTAAGCTACGGGACACATACAAAATTCACTTTGGGGCGGGGGAGGCAAAAAAAGCGAGACAAAGAGGGCCAGCTAGCACCCAAAAAACTAGACCATGGGTGAGCGGGCTTTTCCCATCATGAGCCAGATGGGGAATATACTCAGCTTTGTGGGGCTGCTGGTCTCTGCCACAAATATGCAACTTTGCCAGTGTGGGTGAGAGCAGCCACGGCAATCCAGAAGTGAATGAGGGCCATGTTTCAATAAAACTATTTACAAAAGACAGGCAGTGGGCGGGATTCGGCCAGTGAGCTGTATAGCCAGCTTGGGGGCTGGACCACCAACCTCCAGAGAAGCTAAAACTGAAGGAGAAGGAGAATCCTGTGTGACAGCCAATCAAAGACCAAGGACAGAAAAAACATCAGTGGGCCCGGGTCACCAGGCTGAGTTTTGAAACAGCAGGTGCTGATCTGCACTGCGCTGCTTCACACAGAAGTCTGTGTGGTGGCCCCAGAGGTAAGTGAAAGCAAAACGACTCCCCTAAACCATGCGAGGATGTCAGCATAATTCCACAGAGTTTACAAATATAGCCACAGATAATAAGCATCGTTTTACCTAATAAAAAGTAGAGATGAGGGGCTCTGGTCCCAAGGGATTAAGGCATTCCAGAGGCTGAGAACAGCCCCCAAAATGGCCTTATAAAAAATGTGACCTCCAAACCCTAGTGATAAATCTGAACACGGCTGGTATCTCAGTACCAACAGGAACACGAGCAGAGGTCAGCTTGCCCCAGCATCGTTCCACTGTGGAAACCATGGTAACGGCTCCATTTCCCTGGGCGCCAACCTACCCAGGTGCCCTCCCACTCCTGGATCGACTTGCTCCTAGCCATGAATATGTGAGGTGGAAACACCGAACTGACCGCCCACCTCACAGGGCTGCACGTGAAGAGAATCAGACCCGGAGATGAGTCCCGTCAACATCCCGCTCCCCACGTATCAGAGGGAGACACACTCTACCTAAGAAAGCAATGTGGTCCTTGCACAGGAGCTCCGGAAGTTTGGGGTTTTCGGAAGCATGGCCCCAGCCAGCCCACACTGCCTGCAAACGCAGAGAGGCAAGAACGGAGATCATCCTTCACAACCAGGCCTCCCCGTC